TTTTCACTATTGTTTTAGAAAGTACAACCTATCACACCATCAACCGGTGAGGCCTACAATCTAACAACAAAACAAACTAGTGTGCAAGAACAATCCTCTTGCAAAACACTAACCCTTGTGTCCAACAATCCTGGATCACAAGTCACAACAGACTATTCTGTAATTCTTTTTGTAATTTGAGAGTACAATAGTAATATCAATACAAAGATTGATCTTCTCCTTTAATCAGAATTCACAACTTAATCTCAATACAAGTGTTCAAACAAATGGATGTGAAAGGTTATGCAAGTATGAACACTTTTGAATGTATTTGAAATTATTTTAAAAGTAGTGAATATGATTCAATGGTTGTTTTTTGAAAATTGTTGGAGGTGTTTGTTAATTTGAAATTATCAGAATTTATATCATCCAAAACATCATTTCAAAGGGGTATAATTGAGTATGAGTTAACACATGGAAAGTTATAATATTCAAATAATTTTTGAACTTGAAATGAAACAATTTTTCAGAAAACGTTCAGTGTTAATCGGTTAACCATATAGGTTAATCGGTTAACACTGTAACGTTGGCCCAAAGAATTTAAAATTTTAGGGCGTTAATCGACTAACCTATATGGTTAATCGGTTAACACTGTAAAAACTTTGAAAAATAATTAATTTAAAAGTGTTATACCAATTCCAAATGATTTTAAAACATGTTAATGCATTATGCAAAAATAGTTTATAGTATTGAACACTTGTATACCAATTAAATTAGAGAATTTGATATACCATAGCTTGTGTCCAAGTCTTGAAAGATGATCGAGCAAATGTACATGAAGCTTGAATGTTGATCACTTCCATAATACTTTGATCTTGGTCTTTTGAAAGCTTTTGACTTTTTGCACATATGAAATGATCTTGAGTCTTGTTGTTGTTGTCATCAAAACCTTGAAACCTTGAGATAAAGCATGCTTCTACAGGCCTTTCCAACACTTAGCAATTTTCTAGAAATTTTCCCAACCTCTTTTCGACTCAGGTTTCACCAAAGTTGAGTCGAAGCCTTCTTATGTTTTTTTAGAATAACATTCTGACTTGAGATACTGTGAAATTACTGGCGTCGAAAATGAGAGTTAACACCCACCAAGTGTGCCAATTTGTTCGCACGTGATTTTCGCACGGACAACCTATGGCCTTCCTTCGCGGATTTGCTTTTGGAACTGGCCAAACTAGTCCCAGGACAATTCGATTTTGGGTGGACCGTTTACTTGGGTTACAGTGCACTTTGACGGTTATGTATCTTGGGGTGTGTGTAAGTGGTTTCAACTCTAAGTAACTAAAAGTTGACAAAGATAAAGAAATGGGTGAAACAGAAACGTTATAGAGATTCTGAAAATAGTGCTTTAAATGTCATAAATACTTGGTAAACTTAAAATAAAACAGGAAAAAGACAAATGGACGTATCCGTACATTTTAGAATGACAAAGTAAACTCTTTTCTCTTTAGGGTGGTACTCAGAATGTTTTTCTTCCAATCCTGATAAAAGACGCCTCTATTTCCTAGAAAACCTTGTTTTATATAGGCGTATGAGGTAACTGCCAAGGGGTTTCAGGATGCGCCACATGTCATCCCACGTCTTTGGAAAACTGCCTCTATGTTTCTCTTTTCAAACTGACTTCCCGCCAAGCCTTTAGCTCCTCTCGTCGAGCATACCTTTGCTGGTTTTTAACTTTGATCGTTCGACGCAGGGGCCTGTCAACCCATCCATCTCATGTTGTCGATTCAAGGTGTGGTACTTTCCAAGTTATATTGTTGTTGGCCTTTGGCTTTTGTGCAAGGGTCTGGTCGATCTTCATTCTTCCTTCCCCTAACTTTTGTCGAGGTCAATGCCCTCAGTTGGCTAATTTTCAGCCAACAACTGCGTGCTCAGATTGCACCATATCTCCATTTGAATTGGCGCCTCCTTTCAAGAATGCACCCTGTCGCCATTTCATTTGGAGACTGCATTAAATGCTCTCATGCATATTTAACCAACCCATGCATTGTCATTTGAAGAAACCAAAGATAGTAATTCTCTAATAAGAATTCTCATGTCATCTGCATCGAGATACACTGTTAGCACCCACTAAAACAGAGAGACATGTGTCTCCGATGCATCTGGGTTTAGTTTTCGAAACACTGATGTTGTCCGATTCACAATCAATAGAAACACAAGTTTCTTGCATTTCAAAGATAGATTGGAATCAAAAATAAGTTTGGTCCTATATCACAGTTATATATCAAAACCCGATTTTTTTTAAAACTAACCACGTTAAATTTTATCCACTTAAAATGCAAGATGATGAAGATGTTGAAAATATGTTCGTAAATCATGAACATTCTAGTCTCAACTATATTGAGTTGTATATGTTACTCCGATAAAATATTCCACCTCAGCAGTCTCGAATCATCGATCAATTAACATGTGCAGACTCAGATGAAACCGAAACAAAATACTTAGATGAAACCGAACTGGAGGTCAACGTCGTTGATAACGAATAAGAAGGAAGTGAGACAATGGTCGATCATCTGTTGAACAACACCATTGAAGATGACGAACAAGTGTCAATACCTCCAGTTTATGTATATTGTCTGCCTCAACATATGACAAGACGACAACAATAATGTCTATACGGAAAATACAAGTGCACCTTGCTAATGGTTGTTGCACAAGACGACAACAATAATGTCTTTCCCATAACCTTTGCTCTAGTTGAAGGTGAGACCGCTGCTGCTTGGAGTTTCTTCCTTAAGAATCTCATAACACATGTGGCTCCACAAGCCAATCTTTGTTTGATTACAGACATGCATGCTGCTATTGAGAGTGCTTACAATAACCATGATAATGAGTGGCATAATCCTCCTTATACGCATGTATATTTCATTAGACATATCGCACAAAATTTCATTTGTGCAATCAAAGACAAGAACCTTCGCAAAAAAGTTGTGAATGCATGGTATGCTCTAACTCAACCATCATTTCAATACCACCTTAACAAAATTAGGATGTTAAACGCAGATGTAAGAAGGTAGTTGGACAATATTCTATTGGACAGGTGGATAAGAGTATTTAACGGTGGAAGTCGTTGGGGACACATGACAACAAACCTCGCGGAATCCATGAACGACGTCTTCAAATGAATTAGAAACCTTTCAATCACCGCTTTAGTAAGATCAACCTATTATAGGTTGTCATCACTTTTCGCATCAAGAAGCAAAAGATGGAGTGCAATGTTAATGTCGGGTCAATTATTTAGTGAAAACATAATGAAAAGTGATGAAAGAGGAAACTATCAAAGCCAACACACATGCAGTTACAGTTTTTGACCGTCATAGGCAAACTTTCAGTGTACAGGAAACAATGGACAATAATGAGGGGAAGCCAAATTTATCATATGTTGTCAAGCTAAACAACTGTTGGTGTGACTTTGGCAAGTACGAGGCCTTTCATGTACCTTGCTCACATGTCATTGCGGCATGCACACATGCTCGTCATGATGCTTATAGCCATCTATCTGATCTTTACAAACCCATTAACGTTATGAATGTCTACAACGAAGGCTTCACAATGCTACCAATGGAGGAATATTAGCCTCGATACCAAGGGACATAATTTGGCACAACGATGAGATGCTAAGAAAAAAAAGGATGCCCAAACAACACGCGTATAAGAACAAAAATGGATACAGTTGATCAAATGATATGATTATGCAGTATATGTAGTCAACCCGGACACAATCGGAAAAATGATCCCAATGTCAGAGCAACCTTTGCATCATAATTTATTTTATGCTTTCAATTGTTGTAACCTAATATTTTCATATATTAATGAGTTTTTGTTACAACAATAACAACAAACAACACATACAACACATACAACAAACAACATATACAACACATATAACATATAACGGAACAGAAAAATAAAACATTTTTAACTGATTACAACAATCACTTCCCTCGCATCCTTGTTAGTCTTAACGCGAACCCACCCACGTAGGCCATCATGACTCTCGATACTTCTTATTTTCCCCTATTCAGAAATGTCTCCTTCTAACCACCGATTCAACTTCCTTTTTAGTTGGTTGAAACTTTGAGTGTTCCAAAACAGCACGTCAATCAGAAGCTTCTCTCTCTCTCAAATATGACTTTCTCATGGAGGCGACGATACATGTTTACAGTAATACAAAGATATGGGATGAACTGTTGAAATAAATGACATTAACACCTTTATTTATAGAAATTTTTTTTTCACTTTCAAGCATGTCTCCAATTGAATTGGCGACACCCTTGTAACTTTTAGACTGTGTCGCCAATTAGATTGACAACACCATGTGTTGTCTCTAATCCAATTGGCGACAAAACTTGATGTTTCTGAAGAGTTTTCAATTCATTTGACGCCTGCATTCAGTCAGTATTCCAAAGTGGGATACTTTAGAAAATAGTTTGAAAACTGAATTATTTTAGAATTTTTTTTTTAAAAAAGTGGAGTATTTTGGTAATAAAAAATCAAATGTATTTAATCCTAATTATTGTTTTTTAAAAAAAAATTAAAGTGATAAATATTTATTTATTTAAACTTTGATCTAAGCCATTAAAATTGTATATGCCACATGTCATCCAGATAGAAAGGGTATTAGAGATTGTGATTTTCTCCTCACATGTAGCGAATCCGTACACCCTCAAACCCAACAAAACAAAACCTCCTTGCCACTTTTCTCATTCATCTCAATTCTCAACAACGCATGCGGGTTGAGGTTGCCGTCACTCCTCAGCCGCGTGAAAAACCGAGCAACTCATTCAGGTTTTCCTCTTTCTCTTTTTCCCCTTCCCCTTTTCCGGTGTGGCTGTAGCGCGCGAGTACGCCGTTCCACGGCGGCATGCGGCCGCAATATGATTAAAAGTATGAGCTAATGTTTACTGTGTTCAGTTAGAAGCTTCGAATTCGAAGTTAGATCAAGCACCGCGAATTGACTAAGAAGGATGAGTGAGCTTTTTTTCGATGATTTTTTTAAGGTTGAGGATGTAGACCCCGATGGTAAAAAGTATGACAAGGGTATGTGAAAATGTATCTCTCTTTTATTTTTTTATATATTAAAGCAAAAAAAGTTCTCATTGTTTTCATGTTATGGGTGTTCTAATTTAAATTTATTGTATCTTTTGTTATAAAAATAGCCTATGCAAACTTATTCTTAAGTGCTTATTTTGATAAGCACTTGTGCAACAGTTAAACTAATCTTCAAATGCCATTCTAGATATTAAATCCCTGTGTATTTTGACACTCCTTTCTATTTGCTACATTTAGTGATATAGCCACTGTTACCCGCTGTTAATATGTGCGCTAATATGTGTGCTTTCCTCATGTTAGATTATCTTAAAAAAGCAAAACTTATATTGTACCGCAGAAAAACTAAGCATGAGTCATGCTGAAGTTTGCGCGCCAATACAATTTTGGCATAAGCTTACAATTACACGACTATCTTTTTTGTAGTTTCTCGGATTGTTGCACGAAGTGAGAAGCATAACATGTACATGCTTCTAGACGTAAATACAGAGATTTATCCTATCAACAGAAAGGAAAGATTCTTGTTGGCTCTGTCTCCATCTCTTATTTTGAATACCAAGGTAAAGTTAATGATCATTCCATTTGTGGTTCCATGCTTTATTATAGAAAATATAAAATAAATTAATATCTAACTCTACTATACATTTCATTTTCTATGTGATTGTTTGTTGGCCCATTCGATAAAACTGTTCTCTAAATCTCATAAATATGATTGCGGAGGTTTTTTCTAGTGGTGCTAACTAAGAAGTTTAGCATTTTTAACTTAGTTTTTGATACATCGGATTCAAAAATTGGAGAAGTTCTTGCCTAAACCTATGTTGCCTATATTTAGCAGCATGGGCTAGTCAAGCTAAACTCAGAATAACAAGGCACTGAGTTTAATGGGGGAATAAATGCCTTCCATACAGTGAAATATAGGAGTCCAGTTTGTATCTCTCTTAGGGGAATAGATGAAAACTTGGTGTCACGTTCGGACCAAAAGCGGAACATTTGGGAATGGAAATGAACACTAAAGCATACATACGAGACTGAATATCTAATTAAGTCTCCATGCCACCACGGGTTGGATTGGATGACCCATATGGGGCATGACTGCCCATTGAGAAAAAACAAATGGTGTTTGGTCACCTGATGTAAAAGTCCAATTTGGTGTAACATTAATAGGAAGGATTTTTTTTTCTTGGTCTCATAAGTGAGAAGTAAAGACAAATTGTAATTACAATATTATGTTTTTGAGCTTTTCAATTAGGATAATGTCTGTTCCGTGTTATCTTCAATAGATATTTGTTAAAGCAGTTTAAATGATTTTATTTGTTTCTAGTAGTAGATATTTGCCTTTACACTGAATAGATTTTGCTTCCAGGATGGCCCAGTTTCAATCCAAGAAAAGTTTGAATACATCATGTATGGAAGGTTATATGACATTACAGCTGATGGGCTTTCACGTTCTCCACCTGAAGTGTATGTAAATGTTTCTTATGTTATATTGTTGTATTTGTATGATATTGCTTCATTTTATTTTTCATCAGAAATATGAATATCACCTAGGAGTGTAGGATGTTACACTGTTTTGTCATTATACATGATTCATCAGAAAATACTTTGTTTTATGAGAATGGCCAATTCTCGAACTGAGTTCTTTTATCTTGCTCTAGGGAGGTATGCGCATCATTTGGCGGACTTCAGCTGATGCTAAGAGGGGACCCTTCCCACTGTGTCAAGTTTGCAGTAGATCAGAAGTTGTTTTTACTGATAAGGAAGCTGGAAAGTTGAACTGCTAATGTTACCTATGCTGAAAAGATAAACATGTTTGCATCAAGTTTTGAGTAATTTATGATCTTGTATTAGTAATTCAGTTAAGATAATTTGCGTTTCATATATTTTGTGAGATTAGCTTTCTGTTTCAAATGGTTCTCTCTGAAAGCTTTTTAAGTATATTAATTTCTTAGGTATGGAAATACTCATAGTGACCTCCTCTTAAGTTTTGTTTGGATGTCATTGACTCAATTTAGCTTCAGTTAAAAATAACATTGCTTCGGAAATGAGAGACATATATTGTGCCTCCCATAACAACATAACAAGTCATAAGCTTAGGAACCAAGTTTCTTCCCTCATGAGCAAGCCATGAGCAAACCAAGTTTCTTCCCTCATGAGCAAGCCATAGGGAAACCAAGTTTCTTCCCTATATTTGATAGTTGAGTCATGCATTCACCCCTCACCTCTGTCAATGATACAATTTACCCAACAAGCTAAAAACTCAACTCTCACCTACAAGACTCACACAAGCATATTGTGACAATGAATCTGTAAATTCATGACCCATCTGTTAAGTATTAACAAGTGTGAGTAGTGTGGATAATACCGCTATACACTACTGTATCCTAATTTTCACGATCTGAATTTTTTTCTTTCGATTTATCAATTTCCGTTCCTAGATTTTCACCGAATTTACATATATTTGTACGTAACTCGAAATTAGGGTTTCCGATTGAGTTTTTCTGTTTATTCGCTTTTGATGAATTGAGTGGGAGGAACAATTTTTTTTTTTTATAGAAATTGTTTTCTCCAGGTTTTTTAGGTGGATCTGAATGGGGAAGGGAGGTGAAGATTATGGGAAGAAAGAGAACGCGAGTTCTGATGATTCAGAGAGTGACATCTTCAAAGCTTGGGCGAAGGATGTGCGTGAATGCGAGGAACAGTTTAAGGTGAGTGTGAAATCGAGGTTGAGTGACGAGGAGGTTGAGAATCGGCGTAAGATCTATGGTTTGAACGAATTGGAGAAGCACGATGGCCAATCCATTTGGAAATTGGTTTTGGAACAGTTTAACGATACTTTGGTTCGGATTCTTCTGGCTGCTGCTATAATTTCGTTTGTTTTGGCTTGGTATGATGGTGAGGAAGGTGGTGAGATGGAGATTACGGGTTTCGTGGAGCCTTTGGTGATATTTCTGATATTGATTGTGAACGCGATTGTTGGGGTTTGGCAGGAGAGTAACGCGGAGAAGGCGTTAGAGGCTTTGAAGGAGATTCAATCGGAGCATGCTTCGGTGATTCGGAATAATGAAAGTGTTCCTAGCTTGCCGGCGGAGGAGCTTGTGCCTGGGGATATTGTGGAGCTTAAGGTTGGGGATAAGGTGCCTGCAGATATGAGGGTTGTGGAATTGGTAAGTTCCACTTTGAGATTGGAGCAGGGTTCCTTGACTGGTGAGAGTGAAGCGGTGAATAAGACTAACAAGCCTGTTGGTGAGGATACTGATATTCAAGGCAAGAAGTGTATTGTTTTCGCTGGGACACCGGTGGTTAATGGTCATCGCTTTTGCTTGGTTACTCATACTGGCATGAGCACTGAGATTGGGAAGGTGCATAACCAGATACAGGAGGCATCGCAGAGTGACGAAGATACTCCTTTGAAGAAGAAGCTCAATGAATTCGGAGAGAGGCTGACAATGATGATTGGACTCATTTGTATTTTGGTTTGGCTCATCAATGTCAAGTATTTTCTTACATGGGAGTATGTTAATGGATGGCCAACAAACTTCAAGTTTTCATTTAAGAAGTGTACGTATTACTTTGAGATTGCTGTGGCGTTGGCTGTGGCTGCTATTCCCGAGGGATTGCCTGCTGTCATCACAACTTGCCTTGCACTGGGTACTCGCAAGATGGCCCAGAAGAATGCCCTGGTTCGGAAACTACCTAGTGTCGAAACTCTGGGTTGTACAACTGTGATTTGCTCTGATAAAACTGGTACATTGACTACGAACCAGATGGCTGTTTCAAAACTAGTAGCTATTGGCCCTAATATAGATACCCTGCGAGCCTTTAAGGTGGAAGGAACTACGTATAATCCATCTAATGGTTAAATAGAGAATTTGCCAGCTGGTCAATTGGATGCTAATCTTCAGATGATAGCGAAAATTGCTGCTGTTTGTAATGATGTCGGAGTGTCACAGTCAGAGCATAAGTTTGTTGCTCATGGAATGCCTACTGAAGCAGCTTTGAAGGTTTTGGTAGAGAAGATGGGCCTTCCTGAAGGATCCAAGGATGTACAATCAGGAAGCAAAACTACCATACTTCGTTGTTGTGAATGGTGGAATCAACATGACCGGAAAATTGCTACTCTTGAGTTTGAGAGTGACAGGAAGTCAATGGGTGTTATTGTTGACACTGGTGCTGGTAAAAATTTGCTGCTGGTTAAGGGTGTTGTTGAGAATGTGCTGGATAGAAGCTCTAAAGTTCAGTTGCGTGATGGTTCAATTGTGGAACTGGACAGTAATGCTAAGAACCTCATATTGCGGAACTGGACAGTAATGCTAAGAACCTCATATTGCAAGCTCTTCATGAAATGTCCACCAGTGCGTTACGCTGTTTGGGATTTGCCTACAAGGATGAGCTCACTAATTTTGAAAACTACAATGGTAATGATGATCATCCAGCTCACCAGCTTTTGCTCGACCCTTCAAATTATTCATCAATTGAAAATGACCTCATTTTTGTTGGCTTGGCTGGATTAAGGGATCCTTCTAGGGAAGAGGTATATCAAGCCGTTGAAGCTTCTGCTTAAGGGGGAGTATTGTGGATAGACTCACACTTGAGGGGGAGTGTTAAGTATTAACAAGTGTGAGTAGTGTGGATAATAGTCCCACATTGGATTCTTGGATAAGAATGTGGTGACACTTGAGCATAGAACCAACACACCTATCACCTTTTTTGGGTGAGTATGTGGTATGTCACAAAGGTGTTCCTCTAGAAAGGAAAAGTTTCAGTGTTCAATGTTCCCTAGTTGAAAAATCAAACTAACACTAACACCATTCACTGTCTGCAAATGTTTTCTATTTATGGGCACATTTCTTATAATTCAATCTCTAGTATTGTTTTTTGCCGCCTCCACCTCAATTAATTGTGCAAAGAATATATTTTTAAAATTTTTAAAGGTAATATAAGAATAAAAATAAGTCAACTCAAAAATGCATCTCTTTAATAATCTATTATAAAATTTAAAATATAAAAGCAACAAACACAAATTCTGAATGTTATTTTTAACGAAACACCACGAAACTCTATACATATAAAAAAACAATTAATTTAAATTAAAATGTGACATCTCGTTAATGATAAATCTAAAGACATTGATATTTAAATTAAAAAAAGAAACAAAATAAATTTGTGTTAAAAAAGTCAAATAAACATTTTTAAGTATTAAAATTGAAAAGTCCAAAATTTGATAAAATTTAAAATATAATTGAAAATAATCATATTTCAATAACAAAAATATTAAACTTGAATTCTTCAGTATAAGTGTTGGACATTGAATTTATTTTTGTTAAATAATTCTAGAATACAAAATGAAACAATAAAAACAAATAAATAGATAGACATAAAAATGATGGGAAATGAGACAACATCATAGAATATTGAAAAATTGAAGAAATGTTATTCAAAATTTTAAAAATAGAAGAAGTCGTTATTCAATTTCACTTTTTTTATCTTGGTCCATCTCTCTATTCGTTATATTCCATGCTCAATTGTGCACTTTATAAATGTCTTCTTTCTTAAAAAATTGTCGATCTTCTTATTCTAAGTTCTTGGAGCTTACTTAAGTCCATACAAGGCTTTATGCAGCCTGTACACCTTTCTTTCTTCGCTTTGTTTCACAAATTCAGCTGGTTGTGCAACATAAACTTCTTCGTCTAAGGGGCCACTCAGGAATGCACATTTCACATCCATCTGACATGTGTGCTAATTGTTCATGTTTGCTAGACCAACAACCAATCTGATTGTTTCAATCCTAGCAACAGGTGCAAAAACTTCGTCGAAGTCGATTCATTCTTTCTGTAGAAATCCTTTCGCTACAAGTCTTGCCTTGTGTCGAGTTACCTCTCCTTTAGAATTCACTTTCACTTTGTAAACCCATTTCATATCAATTTCCTTCTTGCCTTGAGGCAATTCAACAAGTGACCAGATGTCGTTGACTTCGATGGACTCTAACTCTTCATTCATTGTTTTCACCTACTTCGAATCTTTCAATGCCTCAACTGCATTAACTGGTTAGACATATGCGTAGAAAGCATAGTGTACCAGCTCGCCTTCTTCATCGACCACATCATCTGATATAATCAAACATTCTTGCAACCGTGCAGGCATATGTCATGTTCATCGAGGTCTGCTTGGGCCTGCTTCACCTCTGACTTCTTCTTGTCGAACTTCTCTTTCGACTTCACCAGCTGGTTCTTCACATAAGATTCTCACTGAATCCTTCTTGACGTTCTCAGTCTAATCCCATTCCTTAAACTCATCTATGATCATGTCCCTACTGATCACAATTTGGTTGTTCACGGGGTCGAACAACTTGTAACCTTCAGTCGAATGATATCCAATTAGGATCATTTGACTCGACTTGTCATCATGCTTTCTTCTCAACTGATTTGGCATATGTCTATGTGTTATAGATTCAAACACCTTCAAACGAATTAGGCTAGGCTTGACATCAGACCAACATTCTTCTGGCGTGATTCCTTCTAGCTTCTTCGTCGGACATCTATTCTGGATGTATGTTGTTGTCGACCCAACTTTTCCCTATAATTCTTTGGGTAGATACTTGCCTTTCAACATACTTCTCACCATATTCATGATGATTCTATTCTTCTTTTCTGCAGTTCCATTTTGCTGTGGAGTGTAGGGTGACACCACCTCATGCACAATCCCTTCTTTCTCACATAATGCATCAAAATCTTTCGACACATACTCTCCACCATCATCAGTCCTTAAAATCTTTAGCTTTCAACCACTTTGTCTTTCGACCATAAATTTGAATTTGGAAAATACCTCGATCACTTCACTTTTCTTCTTGATCAGGTAAGTCCATAATTTTCGACTCAAATCATCTATGAATGTGAAAAAAGTATTTGTTACCTCCAATCGAATCCACCTGTATAGGACCACACACATCAGAGTATATGACTTCAAGAATTTCCTTCGACTTGCTTCCTGCATCCTTGCTGAACCTATTCTTGTGTTGTTTCACTTGAACACATTCTTCACACACTTCACTTGGAATGTCGATTTCTGGTAATCCTGAAACCACATTTCTTCTCTTCAAATCTCTGATGTCTTTGAAATTGAGATGACCAAGTTGATAATTCCATAACCATTCATCTCTGCTGGCTGTAGTTGCAAGACACTTATGCTTTATCACATTAAGTTCAATCTTGAAGCTCCTATTCTGAGACATTGGAGCCTTCAAGATTAAACTACCACCTGAGTCGAGAACTCTCATCATCTTGTTTTCAATCGACACCTTGTAGTTTTTTCCGACCAACTGCCCTATACTGAGCAAATTACTCTTCATGCCTGGAAAGTGCCCGTTTGGATGATTCATCGCTATCACGATTTTCATTCCTTGAATCACAATCAAAGCTCTAGATACCAGATGTTGGAATTTAACCACAACTTATGGAGAATTACGCTCAATCTTGATCTTAAGATTGTTATCAATTACACAATGACAACGAAAATATTTAGAAAGAAAGTAACGTTGGAGAGGAAGATGAAAATTCTGCAACGAAAATATCAGTACTCAATCATTTCATTATTGTATGAGACTGAAACTGTAGATGGTGGAGGAGATTAACCAGAGCATTTCTCAAAGGTCGTCCAAATCTTTACCTGACACGGTTAAGTGTTTGATAAACATCAATAACAGAAACGGAGCTCTAATACCAATTGAAGGTTAAGAAACATAAGAAATGGGGGTTTGAATTGAGCTTCACATTTTGTCCCCTTTTACTGAATTAGAAAGATAAATCTAACAATGACAATAGAAATAAATGATACACTTATTTTTATCCTGGTTCACTGTTAATGAAGTTATTCCAGTCCATCCATCAAAGTGATTTTGCCTTATCACAAGGACTTAATCCAATAATCATCAACGATACAACCACAATGGATACCTTTCATTGCCTTCTTGAGAATCATGACGTTCACTAGCCTCTCAAAGAATCAACATCCAAGCCGTTAGAAAGAACCTGAACCTCTCAAGGAATCAACCTCCAAGCCGTTAGAAAAAACCTGACCCTCTCAAGTATTCTGGTATTCACTCGACCGCTCAAGGAATAACATCCACTAAGCTGTTAGAAAATACACTTAGTCTTCTCAAGCATTCTGGTCTTCACTCGACCGCTCAAGGAACAACACCTTTGACAAAGATTTTTCTTGCGCACTAATATGATTCTTACAAGCTGATTACACAAATGAAGTACATGAACACCTAAGTGTTTCTAAGCAAGATACGAGCAACAACTCCTTACTTTCTAATATAGAAAACTATCTAAAGAATTAATCTTTGAGGTATTATAATACATTAGTTCTGTATTGCTTAAAAGCTTTCTTGATAAGCACTACGACTTCTTTTCATGAGCTTTAAGCTTTTTTTTAATGAACTTCATTCTTAAGCATATAATGCTTCTTCTAATTTAACCATCAAGATCAACTAGGTTACTATGCTTCACTTATTGATGTTTCACTTGACTAGTTATACATGGTTTAACATGTTGCATAGTTAGATGCACTTCAGCAGTTTGCTTCAGCTTCTTCTTCATTTAGCATTCTTCATTTAAGCTTCAGCTTGTAGCATTTTCTTCAGTACTTTGTCTTTGTATAATATGCTATCATCAGCAATAATCTATTGGCAATTAACAATCTATTCATCCAATTCAACAATTCTTCAAGTTTTAGTACTATTATATTCAACTTAAAACCATTCTTATCTTCAGTCTTCTAGCATCTTCAGAAGCTTCAAATATTAACTTGATGAAGCGTGTTGTAGAAGAGTCATTCTTTGTATAATCTTCAGAACCACAGT